GACTATATTTAACCAATAGTACAAACCAGAGGCATTTTTTATAAACCTATATTACTAGCTTTGTTTTTAGTAGATAGCCTTGTTGCATATTGCTTGTTAGTGCTATTGCGCTAGTAAAATAAAATACGTATTATATTACGTTGTACCCACTCTTATACTGTATTCTGTAATATTTGTTTAGATTTTGATTAGGAAAAACATTTAAAAAACACAATTTAATGTATGAAAACTTGACGTTGCCACAAAGAATATTAAGTTAAAATTGACTCGTTGTTCAAATTCTTTGTTTTGATGAATCAGTCATAATCTACCTGGAAGCTACAATAGTGTCAAAAAAGAAGGTAAGGACAAAAGATTGTGGCTGGAAGGTCATTGATACATGAAAACACGAATAGTGGTTAGAAAATAATTACTTTACTGCAAGGTCGAGGCTGTGCTGGTTCCTTTGGAAGGATTTGTTGAGCGTCCCTGTGGACAAATACTAAATGTCCTTGTATATGTTTAAACACCTAGACACATCTTTCATAATCATTGATTTTGAATTACCAAAGTTTTATGTTGTTAATCAAGGAGAGACTTGTGAGAACAGGTTTTAAAATTTCCTTTTAGTGCAATTTTAATTGTCTTGTCGAAGAAGCCATTTTTGAAATGTTTGGAAGTAAATAAAGGTGCTCCTAATTTTATGAGTAACCAACAAAAATAGTAGAAATAAATGTTTTGATATGTCATGAGAAAGAAGTTGAATTAAAAAGATTTGTATTGTACACATAAAATAATAAACTAGTTCTGGACTTGTTGTACACCATGCATAATTTTATTAACTGAATGTTTTTACCAAGTAAAAATTAAAAGAGTGGAGCTCAACCAGTAGATTATTATGATACGTTATTTATACTAAATTATGTCTAGATAAGTTGTGGTTGAAATTGAATTTTAAACCTATAGTTATCTATGTCTACATAGGATATGTACTTATAGGATATGTACTTATACATAGGATATGTAACTTATATGATGATATGTTTGTATGCATAGCTATAACTTCAAATTTTTCGTAAGTAAATGGATTCGGTCTTAAAACGCTGGTGAATAGGTTTACCGACGACCTTCCCAACAAAATGGTTGATATAACCGAGGTTGTTGATAACTGGCTGTGGAGGGATTTACATTTTAAATTAGCGAGTGCACATTGTGTATAAAAAGGCACCTAGATCTATATTCTGCGAAGACACTCGTAATATACCTACGTTTTAAAGACGGTTGAAAAATAAAGGGACTGTCAACATTGGTGTAATTAAGTTGTTTGTCAGCTCAGTAGCCATGGTTAGAGAGGGTTTTAAAGGATTTTTAAACACGACAAGTGCAAAAGTGCAACTACATCCTGAGGAGACGTAGATTAGATGTTTCTTTTACATGGTTTTATCAAAGTTATATAAACACACCATATATCTTGAGTAATATACATTTAAGACCGTTTTAGTGGTCTTTCAAGTTTAAATGTATAATAGTGCGTGGAACAAGCAACATATTACCTAGTAATCTTTCACTTCCGGAGACCAGCACCATACTTTGAGAATCGACTAAATACATGAAAATCAGCCGGGAGGCAAGCTTTAAAATAATTAGGTCACGGGCAGTGACGTCATCAAAATGGCCGCTCAGCCAATAATAATAATGTCGCATATCTCGGGAACCACGTAACCGATTTTGACGTATGACATCTTATTTGAAAGGTCTAATCATTATCTATAAAAAAGGTGTAATAACCTTTTTTATAGATAAGTTAGTAGTTGTTTATAGATAATCAAGATGAGCGAAGAATTAAGTAATTAAATAGGTAGACGATTCTGGAATCCATATTCATAACTCATCTAGGAGATCGATGACTTTTACAAATTAAATGGACAAGTTAAATGTGTACAACTTCAAGTTTAAAAAATAAACGCACGAGTCAGGAGTTAAAGTTTGTTTACCTATATCATGAGTAGACATAAATGAGTAATAGTTTTAAAAAGTGAAATAGACGATTCAGGTGTACAATCAGATGTACTAGTTCACTTAACACCTGTGTAGACATATTGATAAGATACTGTTTTACTTTTACTGGGGTTTAAATGGTCAAGCGGGGTATACAAGATACAAATTTACCTTTCACCTATCTGAACATTGATAACTTATAATTCAGATTTTGTGGACATAGGTGAAATATTGTTTTACTGTAAAGTTTAAAGTTTAAATGGACGAGTCCGATCTACCAGTTTACTTATAGCCTGTTGAGATGCTGTTTTATTAGGCTCAGGTGTACAAGTTCACCTATATCCTAGTGTAGACACTAGCCACTAGCCGGTGGGCTGGGCCCGAGCCCGAGGCCCTCAGTCCCGTTACCGTGGCATATTGACACCGTGTACCGTCCGGTCAAGGTCCCATTCCCCCCATTCAAACCACTGCATATTTGGTCTCTCATTATCATATCCCCTCCTTCACACCTTCTCCGCTTCCACCTTTCTCTTCCACCATTCCTCTCTCCTCTCTTCCTCTTCCTTCTCTCTACAATCTCCTGAAACATCGAAGCGATCGACAAGGTGGTATTACCTGCGTTTATTTTAGTGTACTAATTCATATAGGATAATGTGTATAGTTGAAGACGAGGTATAGTCGATTTATAATTCTGGGAATGTAGAAGATAATGTTGGATGCGTCTCTAAGGATTCGATGGCTAGATTTGTGTTTGGGAGGCCTGAGTTCAAGTCCCGCTAATCGCTAATGAATGTTAGATGTGTGATAATGTGTTTTTCGTCACCCTGGTGATTTAGCTGTTTTTCCACATATCTATAAAAAAAGATCCTCACACGATGAAAGTGAGAAAATCCTCTGTACGGTATTTGAGAAACACCAAGAGCCATACAATTCCAATAAAATGAACTAAAAGTAAGACAAACTTTCTCTCACAATCCCAAGATATTTGCCTGCTGCCATTATGTGTGGTTAGCTCCCCAAAAGACTGTTGAACCCCTGCTGGACTCGACTAGTCAATAGGTCAATTGGTCTTGAATTTAATAAATTTGCTTGTTGCTTAGTTTTCATGTTTCCATAGTTACCTTATTAATTAATTGAACCTTGATTGTGTAATTTCACATACTTATTTTTGTCATCTTAATTACATTATATTTTCTGTTGATTTCTTTTAATCACTGAACAAAAAGTAACACGCAACATTTTAGAAGAATATACATCAATATGTTTTGATTATTTAGCCTAAGTCAGAATTTTGTTCTATTCTACAATTAATTTACAACCATTAAATAGTTTGATTCGTTTTGTTTTCTTATCTATTTCTTTCCAATTTACCTAAATAACTCGTGATCTACGTGATCACAAATAATACTGTAAGTGCGCAAATAATAAGTTCTGCGCTAGCTCGGTCTTAAATAAGTTAACTTCGAAGAAATGCAAAACAATTGTCTGAGTAAAGAATGAGTTTCCCACATTTACACAGCTAAACATTTAACTGTATTCCTAAGTATAAGCTTGTTACTAATATACTAAGTGCATCCAATGCTGGGCAAATATCTAAATAATGTTTTTGTCTACCAATGTTATGGATATAACTTTTTAAGCTCCAACCTTGCGATTTAAGAGACGTTGCAATCTTATTAACAAAATTAAATTCAGAGCTTTTAAAACTGTGTTTAGGTATGTATATTATGCATATCTTGAATTACACTTTTGAGGAAGTGCAACCTATAGAAAAACAGATTTGGCCAAACCAAGCCAAAAGCAATTATTATAATTAGCACTTAGCCTTGTTTGGCAAACTTTCACATTTTAGGAAGTGGGAGGTCGCCAGTTTTAACGGTGTCATGTGCGAAGAGTTACTTAACTGTTTATCTTTTACGAGGTTAGGTTAGGTATGAAAAGGTAACCACACATATACAATATTTGCTTTGTATATAAAAACCATTAATTGTGTCTGGTAAACTAAGCAGTAATTTCTATATTTTATACATATTTTATCATTGACATTTGTTATGACGGGGTTCTTAAAGTTACTAATTCTCAATCAACGAAAATTAATTTAAATAACCGTATCAATTTATTTAAATTAATTCGTATTTGGAAGTTTTATAAACAATTTCCCTAGTACAGTATAGCTGAATTTTATAATTTTAATAAATATGGATGTTACCTTCCGGCGTTCCAAGTAACCATGATGCCAACGGGTCATACTTGGAACGCCAGAAGGTAACATTTTATTAATATTTGACCTTCCAGTAGTATGAAATTAATTCTAGTTACAGTTTTCTCTAAAAGTTTATGAAATTACACTTAGTTGGACAAAATACGGAAGTGATTCCAACGTTATATACGATTGTCATAAAGAGAATACAGACTTCGTGTCTGACCTAGGATTCAAGCAACAGGCACACTTGTATTAATATATACAAGATGAAAAAAATTAAAACTTTTGTTAATTTTGTTAACATGCACAGTAAAGGCTTAAAACTAAAAGTTAAATTTCTAGTGGTTTTAATTACAGGAACTACTCAGAAATCCTTACTGACGTAACTATAGTAATCTTATTGATAACCTCTCCCCATGAATGCATAGCCCAGTAGTTGGCAAACATGTTATATACAGCTAAGTTATGAATTAATCATTGTAAGTTTGATGCACAGTTTACCGCGATTCAGTAGTTTATGTATTAAATTCAGAATACACCATTCAAGTTTTTTTCTGTAGTTGGTATTTCAATACTTTCTTCGGTATAGCCAACGGTTATAGAATGCTTATCTCCGTATTAAGTATGTGTTATTTGATCCAGACATAAATTAATTTATACTTCGATATTCAATTGGAAGAGTGAGGCCCCACTATATTCTACTTCAATCGACGCAAATCTGCTGATTAAAGTAGTGCACTCATTATCATAGGCATATTTCCTATACAGTTTAAAACTCTCAAATTCTACAGAAATTAATTAAAAACTCTGTTCGTTTCAGATGGTGTGACTCGGCCATTTTCGTCCTAGACTCTTCTAGGATATCCCCATCAAGTCGCTTACTCTACAATGGACCAACATTCAAGATGTTCAATAGTTCTGTTCATGACAGTGTGCGAACTTGTAGTTTTAGGATTAACAACTCCAGTATGGAGCCCTCAGCAATCTTCTACAGGTAAGGCGATACCAAAGTAATAACTACTTTTCTTCGTTGATAGATTATCATTATTGTCAACCAATGGGGAGATGTCCCTGGTGACGCCACTGCACAGTAAAACGAAACGTTTGGCTATGGATTTGAACAGTTGTGGTTCGAAAATCAATGTACACTATTTCTCCAGTTTAAAAATCTTCGAACCACAAATTCAAAACGTATAGGATTCGTAAACCTACCAGAGCAACGATAAAATAGTGCTTTTCGTAATCATGTTTTTGAAGTCTTCGAAAATATATAGGCCTACGTCCATCATTGATGAATATTTTGTAGTGACATACAAAACAGAGCTAATCACCAAACAGTTTTCCTTGTATGTATTACTTCGATATTTAGCATTTTAAACATCTAATAAACGACCTAATCATTATTAACGAATGGCGATCGAAAACGGACATTTGGTCAAATCATTCCTTTGTACCACTCAGAGGCGATCCGCAAAGTTTTTCTTTTTGGTACTTCGGTACTTCCTCGTCACACCTTTGATTTTTAACATCTATAAACACTCTGATGATTCTCTCCCAAACTTGAACTACGAATGTTGATCAAGAACCGATTTATCGTCTATCAATCAGTCCTTAGGTTTCTTGAATACATCCAGGATCACCGGTTGGTTCCGTGTAGTCTGGCAGCCACCACGGAAGGTACGTTCCGTTACACAGGACGATGCGCCGACTCGCTAACACCAATTATCCAGCCTACTTGACGCTTCATTTACGTATTTTACTTCAAAGTGTTTCAAAGACCTACTGGAGCGTATTTAGGGTAATTCCTGTATCTTGGGGTCTGCAAAAAATATAACTCCGTTAGATGCTAGTGATGGGCAAAACGTCATTCATTTGTTCTAAATACAATTACAGTTCTTCATCCTTTTCTTTTGATAAGTTTAGTCTAATTTTGAAGTGTCTTCTTCAAATATACATCGATAATGATTAAAGATAAACCGATGAATTGTGTGCTCAGTCACATGCATTTCTCGAGGAAAGATCTCGTATATGCAGGAATGTATCTTTTTGTCCTTTTGGTAATTTTTTTGTGATATTTGTTCACGATTGAGAAGCATTGATAAAGCAAGAGAGTGAAGTAGTAAATTTGAGTAAAAAGAGTAAAATAGAAGATTGGTAACAGAAACTTGACACCACACCGATATAAATATAACAACGTAACGCGATTAAATTGGGTGTACGTACAATATTCGCACTATCGATTCTAAACACTACTTAAATTAGAAATGCAATCATGGAAATACCAAGTTTTTGTTAGTTAAAACGCCCATTCCTTCCAATTCATTGTTAATATATCGTTGGACAATTTCAGGGCTCTTTGTTTTTAAAATGTTCGAAATAACATAAATACAAACCGAAGAGAGGTTGCATTTATTTGAATTTTAGCTTATACCAAATCTTAGTTTGCCACTTCATTCACCTTTAAAAAGCTTAATGACCATTAGTCAATAATCAATAAATAATTATTTAAAATATTTTCAAATTAATTTTGATTCTAGAAGAATTTGGTCGGATTGTATCCTCAAATGTTTAGGTAAAATACATTGTTACAAGTGAATTGTCGTTTTATTGTGTTCCACAGTAGGCTACCACAAATTCACGACGCATTTGAAGTTTATTCCCTTGTAACTTAAAATTGTAGTTTCCAGTTTTAAGAGCTGTCAATGTTCACTCGTAGGTTTATACGATACATGAAACATTATAATATGAACATGATAAGAGATAAGAACAAAACAACAATATTGAATTTTACATTGAACAAATTATTAAGGGATTATTCTCTTAAGCAATGCTTCTTGTAGTACGTATATTTTATTTCTGTATACATCCCAAAATTATTTTAAATGTAATCATTTTTTCATTTTCATTTTTTCATCATTCATCATTCACAATTCATCATTCATTTTTTCAAATGAAAAAGTTTTTTTAACCCCGCTTCCCCAAATTCTCTAAAAACCTGTTTTTGTAAATATTTTTACAACAATTTAATACATTTATCTGGAGTTTATTTGTTGTAATATGTTACAGATTCTATTTTATTTGAAGTATTTAATCAAAAATTGCCTCAGTTTTTCTCGAATTCTCCAAAAATTTTCTTGAACATGGAAACTTTCAAGATTTAAGTTATTAATAGCTTTGGCTACCGTTATTTGAGTAGACTATACTTTGAAAAAAAAAACCGAGAAATCGTTTAGAAAAATATCACTACCTCTAAATTTTTTACGTACAATTTATTCTAGTTGATTAAATATTGTAACATATTAATGGTTTAGTAACTATAAATTTGTTTTAACAATTTTCACGTTAAAAAGAGAATTTAAAATAAATAGAAAACTTGTTTCGAAACATAATATAGTTTTGTTAGATGTATTTCAAGTGTTCGATCTAATCAAAATAAATCAGCTACGTTATGAAAATATAAAGAAAATTCACCATCAAAACTAGGTAAATGTTACTTTTTAAATTAATAAATTTTAAATTGAACACTTTATTCATTTTCGATCACATTTCAGGCCTGAAAGAGAGAGCACACTCTGCCCTTTATATCTGTAATTTTCCTCTTAAGACAATAATTAATATAATTAATAATTAATGTGTAACTATCGAGTAAAGAATCCAAACACTGTACATGGTAGAATTTCTTGAATCAAGGATATTTTCGCTGGCAAGCCAACACAATTAATCTTCTTGCACATACATTTACAGAAATAAATCATATGTTTCCTAACATATCACCTAGATGATGATCGAGTTATACTGGTAACATCATGTTAATAATGTGCAGTACCAAAGTTTAAATTAAATTATTTTTTTCTTGTATTGCTTTAGTTAGTTATCTTTAGAATCGCGATTACATAACCAACTCCAAATTGAACTATTGTGTTTGACACAAGCTAAAGATCCAAAATCTCTATGAAAGTGTCTCCGTATGAATATAAATTCGAAACTGATATATTGTATATCTAAATTTCGTAGAAATGTATTGGAAGAAATAGGTCATATAAATTTTCTTATGTGTATACACATTTTTACAAAGAGGGAGGATATTTTAATAAGACCAATAACACCCTTTAGACTTGATTTTCCTAAACTCGTAAACAGTTACCAACCAACACTAGTTAAATAACGAAAAGAAAAATATCACTTATACATTTTGCTTACAAATATTTAAAGAAATTTAATTCCGTGATTTTACCACTCTCGTCACGAAGTAATTTCAGGGAACGAATTGCATGATAGCCGAGTAACGGTATCCCCAGAAATTACTCTACTGCCTTAACTTCAACGCACGCAAACCCCTTTCAGGTATTAAAATTAAAATAACCCCTTGCACAATGAATAGAGACCCGGAATAATTATAAATTCAAATACAATAAGAGAGAAATAAATACAGGATGTATCATCGCTAGGCAAAACCAAAGCGGCAACGAAGGGGCGAACCCCAAGGAGGATTTAATATGAAAAATAGCTTGAGAAACTCTAGCATTAAAAATTAAAAATATTATCTATCACATATCCTACACTACATTACTAATGTATTGAATACAAAATCTGCTTCAGGTTCTTGGGACCTTTAATCTAAATAATACTACACAATTTAAATATGTTTCTGGCACATGTTCCATTCTAAACTATCTACTACAATCTTAGTGCCAAAGGAGGTGTAAAAGTTCAATGGCCTTTGTAAATAAAATAATTGGTACATCGGCCATTAAAGAAAGTACACCCCTCACTAATACACAGTGTAATTTTTTTTTTTTTAACATGCTATTGATTTTAAACTGAAACTATGAAAATTAGTGACTTTTTTGCAGATGCTATTAATATGGAGAAATAAAGTTAATAATTTGAAATTATTGTTATTTGTCTATTATACAATTTTCCATGTGTTGCACACACTTTTAAGCTTTTAATCTCCCCCTTAAAGCCGGTATAAAATATCAACTGTGTTATAAACTCAGGAGTTGTATACGATACGTTACGTACCCACATAGCCCGATGCTTACGGGCAAATGCAAGGCAAAACATTGCCAACCTACAAAATGTGTACTTGTTATCATTGTATTCACTAAAATTAAATTCTGGCCAAACATTTATTACAACCAAAGACTAAAGCAAATGCTATAAGAAATGAACATTTAGTTGACACCTGCCCACTCAAACGTCACCTACATTGAGAGCCGCGTCCAATCGAGAAGATTGTACAATAGGAAGAGAAATAGACTTGCACGATTAGATAGAATAGTTAACTGGCCAATATTAAATGGTCCTTTGGCTATTGATAAAACTAGACATTCCATCCCCATGTTAAAGCTGTCGCCAGTTTTTAAATCAAAATTGTCGTAGTTGATGTGAGTCACCGACAGATCGTGCTGATATAAATTACTGATCTCTCGATTACGCAAACTTTTTTACGAAGTCAAACTGGGAATGACTTATTGTAAGTCATAGCAACTATTATGATCCATCAACTATCTCAGCAACCACAAATAATGTAGAAAACAGAATTTGAGATATTGGCGTATTCTGTGACTGGCTCACACACCTATGTTCTTTTTAAATAAAAAAAATGGCGACAGCTGGTCCTTATAGCTGAAATGTCTACTTCAGTATTTGTATACAATAGTCAATGATTAAACCTAACTACTGTAAAGACAAGGTTAGGATGCCTACATCACTTCTGTATATCAATACAATACTCGGTCTTAGAGAGGAATTCTTCGACATCATCCCTAGAAAGTGAAAGCCCCTCGCGACTTCCAAGAGTGCATCCATATTCTGTGTGGTGACTGTATCGGGCGAAAGTGAAGTATTTCATAATTTGGCGTCCTAGGATCCGGATCCTACAGTCACAAGAAGTCAAGTTGACCCCGGAACATTGAGGTACTTTCTCTCGCTATGACGCCTACCAGTGACATACATTCCATTGTTGGACGGCCTAGTAGTGCTGCCAGT